CTTATTAAACTCGAAAAGCGAAAGTAGCAGGTCGTACTTTGTAATACGAAAGCTTCTTGCTTTGAGCACAAGATTTTTCTTTCCCAGCTTTGAGGGAAATAGTTTGCTTGCTTTGTAGAGCGCTCTGTCTCTTGGGATGTGTCCTACTCTACATTGTCTAATATATCCGACAATTACATGGAAACAGTAATATCTTTGTCGCACTTGAGGTTTGAATCGAACATATTATTAATGTCATAATTCGCATCGTTCCAAATGACAATGTTCCCATTTTAACGTAACATTCCTGCGCTCTCGAACTGGGCACCGATTGCATGTGCATATACATCAGGACCAAATGAATGTGAAGTTCTAAACTGAAGGTTCATTAGAATAATTTATACAGTTTAGTGATAATTAAAGTGTTGATTATGGAAAAAATGGCTGGAACGAACGAACCATCATTAGGAAGAACGAATGAACATTATTTTAAAAGAGAGAACTTAATTTATACACGAAGGCCGATTTTAAAACGATTATTTTCGTTTGAGAACCTGATTACCCAAGCGAATATTATTCAAACTGTCCGAGTTTTATGAAACTACAGCTTTTGATATGATTGTTGCTTTTGTTTTTGTTATTGTAGTTATTGATGTTTTTATTATTGTCGTTGTTATCGTTGTTGTTGTTGCTGTTGCTGTTGTTGTTGTTGTTGTTGTTGTTGTTATTATTGTTGCTGGTGTTATTGTGTTTATTATTGATTTTGTACTTGTTCATTCTGTTGGTTGCTGAAGTTGTTACAATTCTTGTTGTTTGTGAGCTCTGGTCTAAGAATAGCTTTATCATGCAACAAGAGGAACATTGTGTCACTGCTACTTTATGATGTTACTACCTTTTGACGATGATTGTTTGGAATGATTTTTTTTTTGTAATTCTCATTGTGTCCTGTATGTTGTGTATAGTTTTACGATTTTTGTTTTCATCAGAAAAAAAACCGGCAAAAAAAAAATCGGTATCGCAGTTTTTGCCCCCATTGGTATGTGCATAAATCATTGTCATGAATTATGTTTCTATGGTTGATATTTCTCGATCGTTTATCTAAAGACGAAAGCTTCTATTTGGATTTCATGCACTGACGCATCGATAGCTACTATAGGTTCAGAACTACAGACATAATTTGCCACTCATTTCTCGGCTCGGATGCTCTACAAAACAAAGCAAAACAATAAAATAAAATAAAATAATAATAACAACAACAATAATAATAATAATAATAATAATAATAATAATAATAATAATAATAATAATAATAATAATAATAATAACAATAATGATAATATTATTATATTATAAAAATAATAATGATATAACTAAAAAAACAAAAACAATAACACACGCACGTCATTGTAATCTTTTCTGATCATTCATCTGCTCATGGTCTTTAAGTAAGTTTTTCTGGTACCTCTTTTGCCTTTGCCCTCCTATTTTTGCCAGGAACTGCACTTCTTTAGTTTTTAGTCTTTGATGTTTCTGCTCACATCACCGATTTTCCTGACTATAAAATGCTGCTATATTTTCACACAAGGCTTACAGCCCCCTGTGGTGTAGGCTATTCACCGTCGCACTCAGGAGATCGGAGTCTGATTCGCGTGTGGGGAATATCTCGGTCTATCTGCTGGGATGTTATTTCCCTCTTAGCCCGGGTTGGCTGTCAGACATGGCCGGAGCCAATCTCCTAAATCATCGACATTTTTCCCATGGAGCGTGAAAAAAAGCCCTATAAACATTAAAAACTTTTGATTAAAAAAATAAAAATAAAAACACATAAAAAACCCTTGATTAAAAAAACAACACAAAAAACACATTGCTTAGATGGATCTTTGTTTTCCACAATGCATTACCTCGCTTTTCTTTCATTGGTATATGACCCATATTTCTTTTGAATGAGCATTTATTTCCTAGACGAGTTGTACTAATCATAAGGGCAACTGTTTCTGACAAATATAACGTCAGGCGTCCTTTGCTTGTTTGAAATAATAATAATAATAATAATAATAATAATAATAATAATAATAATAATAATAATAATAATAATAATAATAATAATAATAATAATAATAATAATATTATTATAATGTTCTGTTGAGTAAGACAATGCCCGTTGTGTAAATGACCGGTGCAATAATTATGTTAACAATCACTTTGTGAGAGTGGGATATGTCCAGATTCATATTCATCATGAATGTCGTGCAAAGAAGAGGTATTGGTGGATTGTGTTTTATTGTACTTTGATAAAATGCTGATATTAATTTGTTGTTGTGGTTTTTTTTCTTGATATGCCACAAATATTTAAAAAGAAAGAAAAAAAATTTCGGCGAAATGCTTCGTTTTCCGATTTTGAAAATGTGGAATGGGTTATAATTCGCACTTTTTCATAATAAGTACGTTGTTTTCTTTGCTGTAAATAGTTGTGTAGGGTTTTAGTACTTGTGACACGATTGTCTTATGCAGAGTTTCACTGTCCATTTCTGCTATATTATGAATATACAGTGATATCGGTGTAGTGACTGAGATAAATACAAAACTTTACATGTTCATGTGTTTTCTGGTGGTTTCTTTTTCTTCTTTTTTTTTTTTAAAAGAATCAAAATGCGTGGTTGGCGGGTGCTCTGGTGTGGTTTGCTACATCTTTCCTATTAAACATCTATTGTCCTTATCTCTCCTCCTTTTGATGTTTGTTACTCTCTTGTAACACCTCTAATCTTCGGCGCTTGTATGACCTTGTTGTGTTGTGAGTGCCGTCAAACTTTTATTCAAACAAACAAACTAACAAACCAAGGTGTGAAATTGGTGAGTGAAGTGAAGCAAAACAAGGATTTGAACAGAAACTGGGAAGCCTCGTGGTGCTGGAAACTGTTAGCTTCTACAGTGTCCTTCACGCCCTCCGTCTATCTTTACGTGCATCACCCTCTCGCCATAATATTACGAGGTATTCTAACTTTGTGTTGTAGGCTTTTTCGGCATGTTGGTTGATAGCCATGCAAGTCACTTCAAAATTTCCAAACTATTGCATTCGTTACTTTTCATGTCTTAGGCGGACCCTCCATAGGCGGCGCGCTTTTCCCTTTCGTCAACCCGCAGCCACTTAACGAATCGTCAGCCACATAAGCCTACCAACCTTTGACACGGGTCAAACTTCCATCTATTTATA